TAAAATAGGGCTTATCTACATGTCAACTTTCACATTAACGTTAAAGTTCCTAGACCCATGCGTCTTCAAGTTATTTATACCCTAGGATATACTTTCACTTATTGAAGTTATGCCTTCAGAAGTGTGTTAACCGTTGCAATTGCAGATACATTATTTCATACTCAAACACACAAACACACCATTACTTTTTTACTTACTCTTCTGAATCGGATGTAGTTCTTGAAACTCCAACATTTTCGTTGAGACTGGCCTCAATCGCTGTTTGAATGTCTTCGTCATCGCTGCTATCAATCAGATTTATTTCTGCCGTTGATAACCTAAATGGATATCCTCTTAGACATTTTGAATTTAAACAAGAAATGCCCCCGACTCAGATTCTTGTCAGTAACAACATTTAAAAAAACCTTTACCCATTCACTCAGTTATGGACAGAAAAATTGCCAAACAATTGTAAACACAGTTATGTAACTTGACAAAGTCATAGCGTTTTGTAATTGTAAAAAATATAAGTTGACAAGTCATATGACTTGTGATGGTGTTGATTTTTTTTCAACTTTACCAAATATATATAAATGCAAGACTTTACCTTGAACCCAGTGACCACAAACTCCATTCAAACTTAAACGACCACCTAAGGTTTGTCCTTTGTACATACGAGACATTGGTAACAAAATACAAAGGCTGTATTAAAAACTGTAAATAAATTTCAGCACTGGTGAGCTTGTTCCAACAGACCCCAACTCAATCATAAGGATGCAAGTTATATGAAAAACATTAGTCAAATTATGTCAATAAATAAAGGCTGAAAATCTATTTTGAGCACAAGTGACTTTGACTCACTGATATCTTCCTCAATCAAAAGGAAGAATACCATGCCATCTTCCTACCAAATATGAAATACATTTGTCAATAAATAAAGGCTGTATGGCATCTATCAATAGAATAATGTTAATACACCTGTAAAATGAGAAAATCTTACTTTTGACATTGGTGACCTTGACCTTGACACAAATTACCCCTTACAATACCCAATAAAGGAGGACCTTCTTTCGCAGGTTTTCATTAAACATGAAATACATCAACTCAAAAATAACTCCTCAAAAATGAGAGGACCATTCAAGGTATCCACCTACCAAATATGTAAGATATCATTAAATTATAAGTAATTAGGAGAATTTTCAGATAAATCAAACTTGCCGTTCTACAGACAGACGGACGGACGGACGGTTCAATTACTATATGCCCTTGGGCTTAAAAAAATCTTCGTAAAAATGTCACTGAATTGCTTACTCATTTCCCCCATTTTTCGCTTCTCTTCTTGATTCAAACAAACTTTTAATCAAAAATATACAGAATTATATATTAAAGGTTTTATAGCTCGACTTCACTGAAGCATAGTTTTATGAACTTGGTCAATTACAGTAACTACAGTAAAATCACAATCAAAATTTTCAATTGATATCTCCTGTAAAATACTGGTTACTAGTAACTAGTTACTGGTAACTGCAGCAATTACACATTCAATGCGTTATTGATATACATGTAGATTAAAATCGCTGAGAAAATACACTGAGCACAGAAACATGCTGAAATCCAGTCAACAGGTACCAAAAATTGTGCATAACTAGTCATGATCAGGGGCCATCACTCTATGTCAATCGTTTGACCTGACGACTCACGCTGACGATATGCAACGACTACTGGTTTTAAACTTTAGAAGAATAATGCCCTGTTAATAAAAAGACAGAAACTATCTTCTAAAAAAATTCTCATTTTGGCGTTTTGCTAGATGAACATTATTTGTTGGTTGGCGTCAGTGGCCTATTCGCTAATGTGTGGGAGGCTTTTACTGATGATAACGATAATTCAAAACTTACCTTCCTCTCCAAGAACATATACTTAAACTTGGTTGGACAGCAGCACGTGTTTTCGACAACCGGCTGATATGCCGTGGATGAAAAGTAACCTTAAAATAAACAAGAGCAATGTTAACTGTTAACATGGCCATCCCCAACCGAATGTGTTTGCTCATTGGAGGAATGTACATGTAGTAGAGCAGAATAATTCAATTTCTAAGAGGTCTTTTGGTAATGAAAACTAATGGCTGAAGTGATTACAGATATGAAACGTATGTGAATACTGAAGGCTGAAAATAAAAAAGGGCAATAACTAAAAAATAATGCAGGGTAGGTTATCATTCTTGTGTGCTGCACTCCTCCTCAATGAGATCTACCAACCTGAAGTTTCAAATTGATACCTCTAACACTTTTTGAGATAAACTCCGTACAAAAAGTATGAAAAATAACAAATGGCAATAACTTAAAATTTATAAAGGGTAGAGTTATCATTCTTGCACACAGCATTCCTCCTTAATAAAATAAATATGCCTATGAAGTTTCATGCTATTATCTCATTACTTTTGAGTTATGCTCCACTCAGAAGAAAACATAAATATGAAAAATAACAAAGGGCAATAACTCAAAAATTATGAAAGGTAGAGTTATCATTGTTGTGCACTGCACATCTCCCGGGTGAGATCTATCCACCTATGAAGTTTCATGTTGATAGCTTAAACGTTTTTTGTGTTATGTTCTGAACAAAAGTAAAGTTTGAAAAATAACAAAGGACAATAACTGGAAAATTATTCTTATCATTCTTGTGCGCTGCAATCCTCCTGAATATGATCTATCCACCTATAAAGTTTTAAGTAGATAGCTCAAATACTTTTTGAGATATGCTCCGGACAAAAAATGTCGGACAGAATGACGAACGGACAGAAGGACGGACGGATGGAGACTTTTTATATCCCCCACCGCCTTTTCGGCGGGGGATAAAAAGTACATTGTATACATTTTTACTAAATGTAGATGCAGTTTTTAATCAGATTGTCATTCCCAATACCGTTGATACGAAAGAAATAGGGGAATTGCCAGTTTTAAACAAGAAATGATTTCTGTAAATGCTATGATTATATGTTTGAGATGGCCATAAAGTGCGCATTAAAATTAAAAGGGTTAAAAAGGGATATTGGTTACATGTCCTGGGTATCTTATTCCCAAAGAAAATATATTCTATGTACCTCGAGATCTGGGCTTCCAGGATCCGGCTGAAGTGTTGTAGTACTGGCATCAGCTGGCGTATGTGTTCCAATCTGCGCAGTGGGTTGGACATCAGTTGACCTTTGTGTTCCAATCTGCGCAGTAGCTTGGACATCAGTTGACCTTTGTGTTCCAATTTGCGCAGAAGCTTGGACATCAGTTGACCTTTGTGTTCCAATTTGCGCAGTAGCTTGGACATCAGTTGACCTTTGTGTTCCAATCTGCGCAGTGGGTTGGACATCAGTTGAACTTTGTGTTCCAATCTGCGCAGTTGCTTGGACATCAGTTGACCTTTGTGTTCCAATCTGCGTAGTAGTTTGGACATCAGTTGACCTTTGTGTTCCAATCTGCGTAGTAGCTGAGGCAACAGATGAAATATTTGTTTCGTTCTTTTTTGTGTATAAATGCACCTTGACTATTTTCAAATTAGTGGATTTGTATATGTATTCTAATGTTGAGGTTGGTTCTAAATGATCCCCTTTAAAGTCACATAATTCTATGTCAAACTCTGCCACGTGTCCAAGTTTTGATTTCCCCCCAGGAAAAAATTGGTTTACAGCGATAGTTTTTACATCGGCCATCGAACAGTCTTTATCCAGGTAAAGTGTCCGTGTACCACCACCACTAGGCGACCGGACTTGTCGGTAACAACCGTAAGGGGTACAATTTAGCCACCCTATATCAATCCGCTTCTTCTTCCGTTGTGCATACCTGTTGCCTGGTAGAGCTCCGCGCATTCTAAGATTTCTTGATGCACCAAGTCCTGATACTGTCCCTGAAACATGCAGACAAACCTATAAAAACGTATTTTATCTAAGAAATGAACTGCATGTTGATGCATTTCATCGGTGTATTAACAATCTTTGGACAGTTCAAAGTGCATGAGGTCCGAATGTAATCTTTTAACAGTGCAAAGTTTTTTTTGTACTTAAATGAAATGCATAACTGTTATGAGGCATCACATAATTAGCGGACAAAACTGTAACGTAACGTAATGCATGTCTGACGGAGTCCTGTTACATAATTATTTCCGGTTAATAAACCACACCGAGTAATATATATGATACTTGGCAGAGAGACGAATTTAGTATGTGTCCGAAACATATTGAAATGAGAGGCAGACTCTTAAAAATAGTAAGAGTCAATGAAAGCTGTCGTTTAAACTCGCTTTTATTTTCTTAAATGCAATTTTATAAAGAAAAATACGTTTTTCGGGAGTTTTCATATAGACATATAGGCAAAATTAAAACTGTTCTTAAAACGTCCTTAAGATTACTTTTATACCATCGAATACATGTTTTTACAGGTTCAATCAAAATGTACAGAAATATCATCAAATATCATACATAATTGTTATGGAAGGACTTAAACATAATTGTTGTTGCCCATTCTACGAGGTTCGTTCAATATATAATGCGAACTATCCCATAACTTTCCTATTTATACATTTACGGATATATTCATGTTATTGTTGTGTATATTAACTCATCGCAATTGCAAATATCAATTTGCAATCATTGTATGGTGTCCTGGAAAAGCAGCTATAGAACATGCACTTTTTGACCGTGGCCACGCTTTTTTTTAATGTCGTAATTATAGTACACACTGTGTTCTCTTTGCAATAAATTAAGCACGAAGCAGGTAATGTTTGTTGTGGTTAATAATTCTTAAAACAGTAGTTAGGCTTGCATTAAAAATGAGGTTTTCATGAGATAAAAAGGTGCTGAAAATGTTGATCTTGAAAATGTGTATTTTTCCAGAACGGTGCTCCAATGACTTAAGTTGTCATTGAAACGTTTTGAAATATTCAGTCATATTACCGTATAAATACTTATTTCTGCGTTTTAATTATTATAAGATATTTGTACAAAATTAACCAGCTAGTTAGTCTCCTCTATCCTTCGGAGAGTAAACTTTATATGTTGTTTTTTTGTAGTTGTTGTTTTTGGTTTTTATAGCTGGACCGTGGTTCCAGGGATTCCGATATTTTTCTCATTTCTGCGTTAACTTCCTTTAAAACACTGGGCCCAAGAGTTTCTGATAGTCCTTCATCCATATCAGATGGCACAGGCACGGATTTTCGAAAATAATTCAAAATGCTCATTTTCTAATATACGTTCAATCGGTCTTTATATTTTCGGATAATAAACGTTTCCTTCTAGTGTATTGAGCCAATAAAATACCCAGTATATTCGTCAAACTATAATCGTAATTTTGAAACCTATTTAGCAAGCTAAGAGTGAACGAAAGCCATGCCAACATGATATTTATTTAAACAAAAATAACATGCAAAGTAACGATTTTTCATAGTCTTTTATTCAAAAAACTACTTATACGTAAAAAGCCGATAACTATACATGATAATGGTAAGATACTGTAGTTAGACATTACCGGTAGTTGAAATATTATATTCCGATAATACATTTAGGCTTAATTGTCTGCGTTTTTTGTGTTTTCTGATCGCAGATCAGGAAATACTATGCTAATATTCAATCTCTTCACGACCAACCTAATAACACGTAGTTCTCAAAACAGCTTAAAACTACCGATGTAAAAGATTTTGTTACAAGTATCCAACAAATTACAACGCATTCAAAGTTTAAAAGTAGAGTTGGCTTATAAAATTGTCAATAAATGCACAATCACAAATTACGCGAATGAATATCATTTTAATCAATGAAAATGCTATTTTAGCGATGTCGATTACCGAATACTTCAGAGCGTATTACACAAATAAATCTGACTGTCGAGTAGTGAAATATATACATGCTAGAATATTTTCGCTAAATTATTTACATCAGTGTTAAACAACAGGTTTTTCGTGATTAAAATGCCTCGAAATTAATAATGATTACAAACCCTAAAATGGAAATTCTAAATTTAGAAATATTTGATTTTATTCAGGCTTTCTTCGTATAACTTCCCCGTGGTGCATGGGTAACGCGCTTGTCTAGCTAGGGTGTGAGAGGTTTGGAGTTCAATTCCCAGTCGAGTCAGCTTTTTTATATATTTTTAAGTGTCTTTTTTAAGGAAGTAGCCACGACATGCATAAAGTGTGATGAACATAAATGATTTTTTGATGAAACTCTAGTCATGCAAATTCCGTATGTTTGAAACTCAAACTGTTATACTAAAAAATCTAAACGCAGTCGCTGCATCTTGGTGCCCTGCGAAATGAATTATAGTATATTAAAATAAACTTGTACAGGAAAATACATACAGATATACAGTACGATTTAGATTGCAAAGATCAGAAAATACCACAGAGCTTGCAGCCTATAGATTAAATCTGCGGTGAACGCAGAAATAGCAGAAATGCAAAAAAAACTTTTACGGTATAATGGTGAATGGACAGAAGAAACATCGTCAAGACATGATATATTGAATTTGCAAAACTATTATGTATTTACTGTTCTCCACAGCCAAGAAAACGCGCAAAAATTAATATTAGCGATTGCTATGGAGACTTCTTCGTAGCAACGGTATTTGGTCTATTAAAATTATTAAAAATTACTAGCAATAACACTTATGTATTATACTAGAATAAAATATAAGGGGCCATAACTCTGGTCTAAATGGGCGTGGCCCGAAACAAAACCCCAGGTCCACAACTACACATTATGGTTAACATACCTGTAAATATTCATGACTGTGGCTCTTATACTTGTACAGCTATGCATGACATAAGATTGCATGTTTAATGCATAATGAAATATTTGAGGAGCCATTACGTCTTAATGTGCGTGGCCAGAAACAAAACTTCAGGCGCACAACTACAAATCATGGTCAATACAGCTGTAAAGTTTAATGGCTGCTCTTAAAAATTTTGAGTTATGCGTGGCACAAGTTTTGGGACGAACGGAAACACAAGGACGGATGGAAGGACGCACAAGGGCAAACTTAAATGCCCCCTCCTCTTTCAGAGTGGTAGCATAAAACAGGTTTGCCTGATGCGTACACATTTAGCGGGCTACTAAACATTGAAATAAAAACTACGCTAAATCTATGGAATATCACAATTATGAAAACATTTTAACATGCAAACGATTTTATTTGCAACAATATCAGTTTTAGACGTTTACCATATTAGAACCATAATAGGCCGTCCCATAACATCGGTTTTAATTTGAAAGATGATGGGCTAAGTAACAGGAGACAGTGGGAACAAATGCTTCTTGTTTACATGTACAATGCAAAGTTTAAGAATAATCAAATATAAAAGCTTCCTTTAAAAACGTCTAAATCGGTCGTTATAGCTGATGTTTGTGTCGTCGGTATGGTGCATACTAATTCTTGGTCTATATTATGTTTATTTAGAACCTTCTTTTGACATTTAATCGGTTAAAATGCATAATACAATTACCAGCATGGCATTGTATGATGCATGCAGTTGCACTTTACATTTATTTTGTTTTCCAAGGAAGGATATATGCAACTATGTTGCATCGGATATAGGTCACTGGTACATGTAAGCCGGTGACTTTTGTAAAGTTAAATATCAACGTGACCTCGCCTCTATCTGTTGAATGGCCCTCTTTTTTAAAAGTATGCTGTCCATTATAAGTTTTATGAATGACAAGTTCGAAGGCATCAAAGTAGGACACACCACTACTTACCAGAGCCTGACTTAGCATTGTCCTCTTGCTTTTTTAATACCCTGGCAAATGCCATCAGTGCAACTCTATCGCCATATGCCGGGAGGTATGATTTCAGATCTTCATCCTTAATCACGAGGATGGCTTCAAGGTCAATCTGAAAAAAACAACAGTATTGATAACAAATGCAATTTCTGATTTTCAATGCATGATTGCACAATATAAAGTAAACTGCGATAAGACCCTGAATCATGTAGCCCGGATCATTTGTGACCAAACTGTTGTTTAGGTATGGATGTAATGATACATAATTCTCGGTTTCTTGGCCATTTACTTTCTTAGCAAAATTACTTAGTGGCCCTTTACCTCAAATTGTCACAAACGCCATTGATTTTAGATATAAACATCTGTAAAAATATAGATTGTGTACGCTGCAGTTATAAACCACACAACCTTTTAAACTTGGAACCAACTAGCCCCTGTGTCAGGAGAAATGACTGCCTTGATGTTATTTAATCTAAGGAAAGATTTAGTAATAAATACTAGAACCAATTTCCAAGATATGGGGGCTGGGCAGCACCGCCTGACATAAAATTGAAATATTCTCAGTTGGAAAACTAGCATGTAATTGTTTAGTTAACATATTTTTTTTAGGTATTTTCATCTTTTTCTATCTCAAATCAATATATACATTTAAACAACAAACTCTGATTATTATTTACACCCAAAACAAAGAACTCTGATCATTATTTACTCCTAAAACAAACACACATTATTTATCAAACACTTATACGAAAATCTTTTCACGTATACGTCTTTTATACTAAATAATACTAGACACCTAGCCAGCCCAAGCTCTAAACTACGGAAGCGTCCTAGTGCCAATTCATAATGTTCTATAAAAAAAATAAACTCCTACGTAGGAGATAAAAAAAGCCTAATTAGGAGTTTGTAACTCCTACGTAGGACTTTAAAACTCCTACGTAGGACTTTGTAACTCCTACGGAGGACTTTATAACTCCTACGTAGGAGATAAAAAAGCCTAATTAGGAGTTTATAACTCCTACATAGGACTTTTAAACTCCAACGTAGGACTTTATAACTCCTACGTAGGACTTTATAAGTCCTACGTATGACTTTATAACTCCTACGTAGGAGATAAAAAAGCCTAATTAGGAGTTTGTAACTCCTACGTAGGACTTTGTAACTCCTACGTAGGACTTTGTAAGTCCTACGTAGGACTTTATAACTCCTACGTAGGACTTTATAAGTCCTACGTAGGACTTTATAAGTCCTACGTAGGACTTTGTAACTCCTACGTAGGACTTTATAACTCCTACGTAGGAGATAAAAAAGCCTAATTAGGACTTTATAACTCCTACGTAGGACTTTTAAACTCCTACGTAGGACTTTATAACTCCTACGTAGTATACATATCAAAGAACTGAAAGCACAGAGTTCGACGGACATGTATGCTAGAGTATAACTTAAGATAGCATATTATGTAGGAAAATAAATTATATGAGCCGCGCCATGACAAAACCAACATAGTGCATTTGCGACCAGCATGGATCCAGACCAGCCTGCGCATCCGCGCAGTCTGATCAGGATCCATGCTGTTCGCTTACAAACCCTATTACAAGTAGAGAAACTGATAGCGAATAGCATGGATCCTGATCAGACTGCGCGGATGCGCAGGCTGGTCTGGATCCATGCTGGTCGCAAACCCACTATGTTGGTTTTGTCATGGCGCGGCTCATATGTGTCAAGTTGTAATTGTGGCAAGCCACTTTAGTAAATACCTTTAGTCTGTAGCCAGAGATGATTTTGTCATTCTCTGCATATATTAAACGATGATTCTGTATTATGTACGTTTAGTTATATTTATTATACACAAAATATATCGGTTAAACTTTGTTCAAAGTAGGATATACAATGTAATTCATTATTAAACATATGCATGCATAATGCTCCGCAAACCGTTATCTTCTTAAACTTTACGGAGCAGGAACAAGACACTTCACTACCCCCCTGCCCCCTATAAGGATTTAATCATTTGAAACGGCCGAAAATGGATAAATTGCTCGTTTTGTTCAGCTAGTTCGTATTGAAATCGTAATCATTAAAGCCTTTTAAAATTTTGATATATATGCTTGATGTCGAGTAAGTTTTTTTCGAATAGCTGTAAAGCAATTTTTCGGGATACATCGCCAATGCTTACAGACACCTCACCCTAAGACACTGTACACTCTAGAAACCTGAGACACTTTATTAAAAGGTGAAGTGTTGCGGCATGGCCGTGTGACTAGTAGCCTAATGATCGCTAGCCGCATGGGTTCAAACCCCGTTAGGCGCAAGCCGTTGTTTCCTTGAGCAAGAAACTTTACACTCATTGCTAAGTACGTACTGGTTGGTTCCAGGAACGGATTCGAAAGTGTGTCTATAAGCTTATAGCTTCCTACACAATCAAACTTAAATAAATTCTGTATGAACCAAAGGTGAAATGTCCTCTATATTTAAGATTTGAGGGGGGGGGGGGGGGGGGGTAAGTGTCTTGTTCCATCGCCGATATACCGGTCCGGAATGTTGAGATTTGCAAAGCATTCTGTATGCATTTCTTATAAAGTCATAAAGTCCTACGTAGGAGTTATACAATCCTACGTAGGAGTTAAAATGTCCTACGTAGGAGTTTAAAAGTCCTACGTAGGAGTAAAAAAAAATCCTACGTAGGAGTTTAAAAGTCATACGTAGGACTTATAAACTCCTAATTAGGCTTTTTTTTATCTCCTACGTAGGAGTTATAAAGTCCTTCGTAGGAGTTAAAAAGTCCTACGTAGGAGTTAAAAAGTCCTACGTAGGAGTTTAAAAGTCCTACATAATTAGGCTTTTTATCTCCTACGTAGGAGTTATAGTCCTACGTAGGAGTTATAAAGTCCTACGTAGGACTAAACAACTTATGATCAAACTAAACAATAAAATCATCACAAGATGAAGAACATAAAAATGAATATTTTTACAACTCTAAGATACAGTATAAACCACAAACATTCATCCAACAATATCAACTTCACACAATCTAATCAGCATCAGAAAACAACTTCAACTAAAGCACCCAATATTTACATATATCCTCAAAACAAAGCATCAACTAATATAATCTTTACAAGACCAAACATTCAACCAATTATATCTTCACAAACAAATGTAACTCAACAACCAAAACAACTAATTACAATCAATAAACCCTGATCAATTAAGATCACCACAATAAAATTCAACCAACTTCAACAAATCAACAAAACTCCCTTCAAAACAACAAATTCTCTTATAAACAAAAAAAAATAATAATAAACGCTACACACTATCAGTGTGTACTGTGTCTCTCCTAAACTGATCTAAACTCAAATATTTTCTGTTGTACCGATTTTGATAGAGAGTTCTACATACACATATCAACAGGTTTACATTGAAATTTGATCCGTTTCAGTGTCTCGCTGTAGGAAAACATTAACTCTTTGTAAAACAAAATATCTACAGTGAAACTGTATGATTATTCTGACACCCTGGGTTCAGGCCCATGGTTTTTGCTTTGCCCTTTAACCTATTTATCCATTCTTAAGTCACCGTCACTATAATGTCTTACCATCACCGCTACTGAAATCAACACACATTGATGCGAAAAAATTAACCCCTCGGCCTACGGCCTTCGTGGTCAACTCCTACGCATCAAAACTCCAATTCGGTGTTAAATAGCAAATAAACACCGCTTGATATTATTTCTTAAATTTATCTCCTTATGTGTAAGAATGCATATGTTAGTTATGACTAGTATGCTTAATAGGTTTGTCTACATTTGGAATGTTTATATATTTTTTTCGCATCAAAACGACAGCTGTCCGTACGCGCCTTGACGGACTTACTGTCCGTCAATTGTGTTTTCTGCGCTGACATGTATATACCGTCACGGTTGTCGACGGTTGAACGGCTGTCTGCCCATTTGATTGTACGTTGTGTACAAGCCTTTAAGAGTCTAATGAATTAGACTATCATGCATCCTTGCTCTGTGCTTTTATATATCAGGTCTATCTATACAAAATTTAAATAATAAGATTGTTTAAAAATTTGATTTATGCACTTTTAAGTCACATTGAGTAGCTGCCTTTTATCACTATGTGTGGCTCAACGGTTTAGAAACCACAATTACTATATATAATTAAAATAATTTATAATAACATATGCCTCGGAACAAGTTGCCTTGCCCGTTCGTGCCTGAAATAATGCACGGAAGGGCACTCCACCAGTAAAGCTGGAACGTCGCCGAATGACCTATACTGTGTCGGTGTGACGTAAAACCAAAAAAAATAAATCCAAGTTACCTTATCCGCCGCCATTCGTGCCAGTGTTGCAGAGTCTACGCCTCGCTTTCGTAGAAATTCCTCGATTTGAGACTCCATCGTGAACAAGGAAATGGCGTAATTTATACTATGGGAGATAACTATTTCTATAAGGTGTAACTGTTTTGATTGGCTGATAAATATGTACGAAAAACTAAAATAAAAAAGTTTCAAAAACAAAAAAAAAATAAAAAATGTGCGAAATACAAAAAAAAAAAAAAAAAAAAAAAAAAAAAAAAAAAAAAAAAAAAAAAAAAAAGTTTCAAAAAAAAAAAAAAAAAAAAATGTGCGAAAAAAAAAAAAAAAAAGAGTTCCAAAAACAAAAAAAAATAAAAAATGTGCGAAAAACAAAAACAAAAAAGTTTCAAAAACAAAAAAAAAATAGAAATGTGCGCTAAACAAAAAAATAAAAGTTTCAAAAACAAAAAAAAAATAAAATTTGCAAATGTCACTTTTATGCCACCGTAGTTTTTTGTATTAAAGTTTTTTTTTTAACAGAAAATAAACATTTTAACCTCTGCATCATTCGTATTCTTATTATTATCTGTTTTTGAAGGATACCAAAAAAAACTTCGACATAAGAACACCGACTTTTTATGTGTGTACAATTTTTTATGTTTTTCTTCTTCTTTTTTTCCATTTTATTATTTTTTAGTAGTTTCACTTTATTTATTTTATTTTGTTTTTTTAACGTCGTCTTAAAATATTAAAAGTAAGTTCTCCGCGGTGATCGCCGACAAATATCATATGAAACATGGGAAAATCCTGTGTTCAAGAATTAAGTTTTGGAAGATTCAAAATCATTTGTTATGTTTAAATTTTAGCAGTATTGCATACCGTGGAATTTTTAAGACATCTATATACTGAGTATACTAACATTATAAAATAGATATCAAACCTAACACGTACAAAGTAATCTCCCTTTTTAATGTTATGACATTTTGGCCGGAATTGAAGGGAGGCTACACCTTACAGATTATGTGAAAGATCAATATCATCTAATAATAATAATAATAATAATTTTAATTATTATTATTATTATTATAAAAATCAAACGCGCGTATATTGGCTATATGCACCTTTCAGGTGTTTAATGCTTAATAAATGTTGTTGTTGTTGTTGTTGTTGTTGTTGTATACATGAAAAAGTTCTAACATTAACAAAATAAGTAATTACAAAAGGCCGCTCAATTGCCATAGCGGTAATATTATTAATATGTGCCTTTTCGTACAAACTTCTAACATATTTCGGCGGTTAGCCCTCATAAACTGAAGAAGGTTCAATGCCGGCAATTTTAGTATGAACTTTTTAAAGTAAATGTGTATTCTATA